TTAAAATCGTTAACAATCCTTTAAATCTTGATAGCTTTTTTAACTTATACAAATCCTTTGAAACAGAATTAAAGGTTTTGCTACAAAGTTTTAATCATTGCAATATCGATGGTTGAACCCACAGAGGACAAAGGGAGAGCCATATTTTCCCGTGACAACTTGTTGTACGAAAATGATTACCATTTAATTAATTACTTACTGACCACGTAATAGAGCATCGTAACAGTTAACGGATTCATCTCTTACAACCCCAGATGCTATTTACATGATGTCTTGAGTTTCAGGGAAGAGTGGGCTATTTTCAAACATTTCTGACAGTTTTAAAATATATAAAATTTCATCATTTGTATCATTTCATCAAGGACAACTCTGTTTGGAAAACCAACTACCATCAAAAATGTGGGGTTGGAAGCGCAAAAAGGTAATCTGTTCCCAGTTTTAACCAATGAACCACCTAACCCACGAGAAATGTTGGGCTTGTTTTTTGCAAATATACTAAAGACTGTAGCAACAAAAGATGTACATGCAATGAAATGTCCATTATTTGTTCCTCGTTGACCGTTATGCCAGAACTGCTAAGGGAACTTTTTACATGGAATGCCCATTCTGACGAATGAGGAAGATAAAGAATATATAGACCTACACCGCATTATCACTTCGATAGCCAATATTGAGTCTAATCAACAAGAATTGAATGATGGAAATGTCCTAGATGGTGGTTCTCATTTCCAGATGGCACCTGTTTTTGGGACAGAAGTCGGACCCTCTCGTCCAAAGTGAGTCAGATCATGAACACGATGTATTATTTTTGTATTAAAAGTCTTGATTTCGGTAATTGTTATAAATAAACCTGGACAAATGTAGCTGCAAACATTATCTTTTTCATTTTTAGTCTAATAACTAGTTGTTTCCAGTTAATAATATTAACTACATTTCAATGTCATTTTAATAATTTAAATACAATTTAATCTTTGTCACTACATAATAAATCAAAAGTCAATACTCAATAGGCTACTGTTTTAATAAAGGTTTTAACAGAATACACGGGGAGTATGTTTTATCTATGGTACACAATACTGCCTGACAGAACAGTTAACATTTACATCTTACTTTTGACATGTTAAAGGTGAAACTCTTTCCATACGATTTTTTTTCGCAAACACTAATAACGTATTTAACCAGAAGACCTTGGTTTCGTTGTTTTTTTCACCATTATTCAAAAGCGCGGTACGTACAATGCCACATGCTGAAAGCAGGGCTATGGCATATAAGACCAACTTTTTCAAGTGTCTGTCCTTGAATGTTTGTGATGGTCATGGCAAAAGCAATTTGGCATTGGAACTGCAGATGTTTGAATTTCAAGAGAAAATTTCCCTCTGACGATTCTAAACTTAATTGGAATAATAATACTCGTTTTCCAGCCCAACTTGCAGTAATCATTTTCAAATTTAAGACTTTGTCATTAATATCTTTTACTATTATTCTGGTTCCATTAACCTGTCCTTTTTATACACTTAAATTTCTTAGTAAAATTACAATTCCACCTTTTTATAAATATAACTTGTGAGGCATAACCACTTGGTGCTAAAGTGTGGAGAAATTCGTCAGGGACATGTAACCGGTCTTCCTCTTCTTGAATCAAAGTGTCCACTGAGTAGTAAACTCTACTGTCATTATTTAGTTTTATTATTAATTTGATCACCATGTTCATTCTTTGGTTAAATTATTGCATTATTTTTGTCTTTTTTTAAGCATTTTCAGAGAATCCTTCACTGAAGATTTCGTCAATGATATTTTTATTCGCAATACATTGTGGTGGAAGACTTATCAATGTCTCACAAAGACCATTAAGGTAGCTCTCTTGGCCATTTCTTATTTGTAAAAGATATTCAGAAAATATTGATTCCCTTGGATTTGCTCTCATGTTTTTAGCAAGTTAAATATTTTTAAACATTGACCATAAACTTGATATATTTATTGAATTTTCTACTATTTCACAGCGACTCACACCAGAGACTATGGTAGCTCATTGCCGGAAATTACCCAAAAATATTTCCACCAAAAGGCTTTGGTTGACCTTCTCTTCTTGCAATATCTCGTAGTAATCATTTTACAGACGATAAAGCATACTTATTGGACATAGAAGCTTCATCCTATAATATTATTTTACAAATATTTAGCTTCGTTACTATTGGATTTTATTCCGGAGACTGAGACTGACTCATTTAATTTTATTGGCAATTTAAATCTGTTTTGTACTGTACGCTAAGATCTCAAAAGTCAAAATAGTCTGTTTTGTGACAGCATCTGTCCGTGCAATATTAAAAAAAATCAAGCGGTCGAATAACATTTCTTTGATCTTCAAAAACCAGCATAGGTAATTTTTTACAATTTATTATCATACCATCTCTGTTGTTAATACGTCGCCGAATCGCAAACACGGGATTGTTTCTTCTAGGTAGAATTTTATGATAATCAAAATAATTAAAAATTGGAAAACACAACACATAAAAATATCTATTAAAACGTTAAACACACCATTATCTGAAAATAAAATACAATCACACAATGAAATAGACTGGTTTTTACTCCCTATGAATGAAACTGCGTAAATAAACTATATCCCATCTCATAAGTTATCATTGTATTTGAAAGTAAACTGATAGGTAAACAGAAAAAGTAAATATTAAAATGACAGAAGGCAAACTGGCTATTTGTATGAAGACAGATGTTTTATATTGAGAAATGAATCATATGTTAGGTAATCTTAACAAATTTTGACTTGTATCAAAGAAAATAGAAAAATATATAAAAACTTTAAAGTCCAATGGAGCAAAGCACATTGAACTGAGCGTGACAAAAGTTATTCCATGACTTATACAGAGAATTCCCTTTAATTTGACACCTTAATCATCAAAATCGGTTCATAAATAAAAGAGTTTTGCTGTGCACAAGAAATTCCTTACGGAATTAGAATAATAGAAGATTATGCCAAAATTACTTGTTTCCATGACAAATATACATAACTTAAATAAATTTATATAAACTATTTTTAACACAATATATACGCTCGATATATTATATTATATAGGTTAGTGCTCCAAAACCTGTTTTCTATCCTTACTAATGTAAAACAACAGCAGGCTAATCGATTATATGAATTTATTAAAAAAAAACTTCTGAAAAATCAATTTAGAAAATAATTTTTATATTATTTTGAGAATATCTTTAAAACTAATGCATATACATAAGAAATGAATATAACCATTCTTGTAGAGAATTTTATCATCTTTCTTTTTATAATTTACATTTTTTCCATACGACGCACGGTTTTCAGTGTAGAAGTAAAAAACTAAAAAATGGGGTCTTCCCCCCTCTCCCCGCTGAAGCAGCATGGCCAGGGGCGGGGACTTTTGGTATTTTTATCTTCTAACTACCCCGAACACATTCCCGCAGAAAAAATTTCCCCCTCTCCATGTTCTCTTCACCCCTCTTTTGAGCATTCATTGACTGGACTATATGAGCTATAGCAACTGTTATGGGTCATCAACTTTGTCAGTTACACAAAATAAGGTCGAAAATAGAATTTAAGACATGCATTTGGTGACTGGCTCACACAACTACATGTAAAAAAATGGCGACAGCTGGTCCATATAGATGGGATGTCTACTTCAGTATCCAATAGTCAATACGTGTACATTACATGTTTTTGGTCGAGTTTTCAACCACTGGACGACCACTAGTATATTATTAATAGGCATGCATGTTTCTTTAAAACCTTTTTTCTCAGCTCGTGTACAATGCAGGGTAAATCTACGCATACTGTTAGAAAGATATTTTCCTGTAGATGTGCAGAATCCCTTTATAAATTAAAATAGGCTCAAAAATAAGCACAAAAAATGAATTTAAATTTTACAAAAAATTTACATGAGCATTTATAGGGTTGCCATGTTGGTGAAGAAATAAAAACTACAACAAACAGAACATCAAAACAAATGGAAGAAATTCCAATCACATGTTTTATTTACAGGGTGAAAATAGAGAGGTCTACATTACATATTTTTGGTCGAGTTTTTGACCACTGGACGACCTCTAGTACAAATTACAGTAAACTGCAGTTCTTGCTCTAAATTCTATACTGGCCAAACAGGACAAATTTTAAAAGTAGATACAAAGAAAATATTCAAGCCATTAAATCGTGCAACAGAATAACACAAAAATCTACATTTGCAGAACACATCCTTTCTACAGACCACACATATAAAAATTAGAACGTAAACATTACCATACTATTACATTACCATAGTAGTTTTTTTATGTTCATCAGAAACAAATATAGGGTTAAGTTCAGTCAATGGGATGCATTACTTTACACTAATTTTGTTAAACCTTAACAAAAGGAGTATAAACTTAGAAACAATAACTGGCATAATTTAGCGGGTTTGACCAAGAAATAAGCTTATCTCAAAATTAGGTATTTGCCTTTTCATATTTATTTGACGAAGACAATTTCTAAAATTCCAATCAGGGAAGCTTTTATTTATCCTCATTAACCACAAGACCTAAGCTACCTTAGTAAACCAGTATTTATTCACAAATAATGGTATGTTTGCTGCCTTTTCATCTTAAACCTCTGGAGTAATTCAACTATAAACAAGAAATTTTTATTATAAATATTACAAGACAAATAAATCTAAATTACAGATATTACTAAAAATTTTGATTCTTTCAATATATATATTGGATGCCTGCTCAATTCAAATTATTTATTGAAAATTACATCAACAAATGAAGCAAAGAAAGACGGACAACAAACTGTTTTTACACAAAAGATATGGTGTACATAGGGATACATATCCTGACAATAGATAATGTTATTCTGAGTTTGTTTAAATACCGGAATTGCAATAAGTTGTTTTGCATTTGAGCTATTTAGGGACATATGTCCCTACAAGCCACTAGTAAGAATTTAAAAGTGATCTTTACACAATTTGTTCCAGCTGCTCCCAAAACTGATTTCTTTACTCAAGGTGACAGACAAAAATATGTGTGATGTCATATTAGACAAAATTACATCCTTTGTGGAGGTTTGTCTTCAGATGAATCCTACTTTTGAATGTAAGTTGCTTTCATAATGTACTACTAACTTCAAATTTTTCCTTTATTTAAAAACCATTTCGGTCCGTGGTACGAACGCTATTTTTCACCACACTATACCATATTACCACTATTCACCACTATAATAATGTACACTGATAGTCAACACAACTACAACTTTAAGGTTATGTGAAGAAATAATTTGAGGAATCAGCAAAAATAAAAATAAATATTTGCTAGCCAATGGTGACAATAACACAATTCTATTGCAATGCTATGGATTTTGATTGTGTATTTAAAATGCATTCATGTTTTAAGTAAGTAAGCGGACAGCTGATTTTGCGGCCCCGGGCTGTAATAACCTGCTCGGTCCCCAAATTACGATGACAGCTGACAAAACGTAACTTTCAGCCACCAATTAACGTACGTAATACAGCCAAAAACAACATAGTGTGGTGAAAAAAGCTTTTTTACTGACTGAGACTATCTGTTTATTTACCCAGGGTCATTTATTAAAAAACTCCCTTTTGTTGATTGATAATTTTTTTTGTCTTTTTGTCAATGATATATTTCCATTTACAGCCACTAACTTATCCAAAGAAGTTTCAGTTTTAGTACCTCTGTAGTTTCCTGACTGGTTAGTAAGTTACGCTGACCCGTGACAGGCCTTTAAAATGATCAGGCTTTACTTAATTGTCTGGAAATGAGAAGTTAAAATTACTTTGTTCACGTAGTTACAAAATTCCTATTATCAATAGCCATCTTCATTCTCTCTGATCTTGATATGATTAGAAATGTGTAAAGCCTGACATGACATTCAATTTAAAACCAAAATATTTTCTTATTATGTTAAAAAACATTACAAACATGAGCTAAGCTCAAATTAGTAATGTTTTTAATGGCAAATAAAGAGTTTGAGTTTGGGTTAAAATACTTTGAGATAATTGTGCTTAGATTTAGATTTTCTAGTCAAGTGCCACTGGACTGGACCAATAAATAGTAGACTTTACCACAAACAATAGGAAGCACGAACCTTTCATTTTCCAGCTGATTTCGATATTTATTTATGATATGTGTTTTTCTTCAAGCTGCTACTTTGCTTTCTGAAATTTTAATGTTTAACAAAACACAAAATATTTTAAACCCTCCAAGATTTGAATGTTTGTTTTTAACAGTAAAATAATCCTCTTACTGGTGTCTTTACCTATCACATAAAGTAAATACTATCAAACTCTATAAGTGGAAGTTTCTGTGCAGTTACCTATACAATACACACTGTGCTGAGCGTCTGTTAATTTATAGATTTTGTTGCAGTTAGCCCAGACACGTGGAAAGAGGTGGTTGCGTGTACAGACACGTCAATGCAAGCTTATTACACTCTTGTCCCAGGAGTTGCTCAAATAGACTTTGACTGTCGGTTGAGGCTGTATCAAAACATAATGTTGCATCTCACCTCTTCACCTACTCTAGGGTAATCTCCATACTCTACACTTCTTACAAATACATGAATAAAAGGGGTATCAGTGATATTAAGATAATAAATTTAATATCTGACTTATTTCATGTCCATTTTTATTTTTTACTCGATTCATAAATTAATTATTTAAAAAGTTATTTTTGGACTTTATATGGATATACTAAATTATTTGTTTTTTAAGCTCTTTAAAAAGGTTTAAAGAGCTTTAAAGAGCCATTCATTTAACTTAGTGGTAAATGAGCAGCCAATGCTCAATTTGCAGTCTCTTTCTTTTCTCTTGTAGATTTATAATTTTTTCTAAGCATCTACTCTTCGTTGGGCTATCCTAAAGAATCACATTTCCTGCCTCACATTAAAACCTTTGTCCACAACGAGATGGGAAAGTGGGATGGATGAAATCACCCCTCTAAGATATCAAATTGAAGAAATTTACGATGCACTTGTAGAAATCAGTGAAAATTATAACACCGATAAAATGGTTGCTAATGAGGCAAGCTGTTTGGCAAATCAAATCCGTGATTTCAACTTTCTTTGGTCTGTAGTCATATGGTATGATGTTTTACTTCACATCAACGTAGTCAGCAAATCACTACAGAGTATTGAAATGGCAGTGTCCCGACAGCTTACGTAAGAAAAAACGGAAACGTATTTTAAGTCTCTCAGGAGTTATTACAAATTCCAGGGCTACTTATCTGACGCTAAAGAACTAGCTTCTAAGTTAGACATGGATTCGCCGAAAATTTGAGTCACCAACCGAGCAAGAAAGCGAAAAGTGAAAAGACATTTTGACTATGAAGCTGAAGATGAAAGTATGGACCTTGATCCGGAGACACGATATAAAGTTGACTTCTATTTCAAAATCGTAGACACAACAGTTATTGCACTGAGTGATAGATTCCACCAAATGAAGAGTCGTGGTGACATTTTTGAGTTTTTATATGATATAACAAAAGTTAAAGACATGCCTCCTAATGAGTTAGCGGACAAGTGTTTAAAATTGTGTGATGCCCATACTTTCAAAGGCTCTAAAGACATCAGTAACGCCGATTTAAAAGACAAACTGAAAGGTCTTTCAACTATCATAAAGTCCAACAGTCCACCTAAGGAAACATTGAAAATGCTTAATGAATTTGGTCATGGTATCACACCTAATGTTAGTGTTGCTCTAAGAATTTTATTGACTCTACCAGTGACAGTTGCGAGTGGGGAAAGAAGCTTTTCCAAGCGGATCGCCGATCTCGCCCAGGGCGGCAAAGTCCCTAGGGCCCTGCCTGTCTCTGACCTTGCTTCAAATTAATTATTTCAAGAATTACTTAATCAATCAGGCAAATTTAAAAGCATACTTTCTTCCGAAGATGCCTCTTGTAGGGGGAAATATCAAGTTTATTGTGTTGTGAACAATAGACAATAGACAATAGACAATAGACAAAATCTTTATTGAAATATTCTTAGAGAACATTCATGCGTCAGGTACATAAAATGTACAGTATGTACGTAAACTATTACAGTAATTTGCAATTACAATTAGAATTTTTTTCTTCTTTTTCTTCTTTTTTTCATGGTAGCTTATTGTTTAAGAATTCATCCTCAGAGTAGAACGGCCGGTCCATAAGCCATGTTGTCAGGTGCTTCTTGAGCAGATTGGGTTGTTCTCTCTTGAGGTGCTCTGGTAGGTTGTTAAAGTACAGAGCACCTTTGTAGGATGGTTTCTTCTCGTACAGACTCAGATGGTGTTGTGGGAGGGAAAAATTAACGGCATGTCGTGTGTTGTGCTGGTGTATGTCTCTGTGTCTTGGCTGGGCTGTTTTAGTGGTGTGGATAATGACTTCTCTTATGTAGAGTGAAATTGATGTGAGAATTTTAAGGTTCTTGAAGGCTTCTCGGCAACTGTCTCTGTAGTTCAGGTCGGCAAGGCATCTAATTGCTCTTTTTTGCTTTAGGAGTACTCTTTCCAGGTTGCCTTTTGATGTTCCACCCCAAGTCGCAATGCCATATCTGAGGTGGGACTCGAATAGAGCAAAATATGCAACTTTGGCTACTTCTGGGCTGCAAGCTTGCTTGATCCTACGTATAACGTAGAGACTTGAACTTAGCTTTTTGCAGAGCTGGTCTATGTGGGGTTTCCATGATAGCTTGGAGTCAATTATGATGCCTAGGTATTTTGTGGTGTTTTGTGTTTGTAGTCCCGGTATTGTAATGTCTGTGTTGTTGCGTTTGGTGGTGAAAGTCATTTGAACGGTTTTGCTTTCGTTTAGAACTAGGTCGTTGGAGGTACAGTATTGCTTTGTTCTCTGGAGTTGTGTGTTGGTTTTCTCTTCCAGATTTTCCATTGTTTTGTCCGCAAATGTGAGAACCGTGTCATCTGCGTACATGGTGGTGTGTCCATCTTCCCCAATCCAACTAGGTAGGTCATTCGTGAGAAGGAGGAAAAGGACTGGGCCAAGTACTGATCCTTGGGGTACTCCTCTTTGCACGTCTACAGCTTTGGATTGGGCCTTATACTTAGTGTTGTTCTTTATGTAGGCTATTTCCACAAGCTGTTTCCGGTTACTAATGTAGCTTTCAAACCATTCTGCTGCTCTTCCTCTCACGCCTAGTGTTTCCAGCTTGAGTAGAAGAAGTTTGTGGTTTAGGCAGTCGAAAGCTTTACTAAAATCAAGGAAGAGGCTTGTTGAAGTGCTGCCTTCTTCTAGTTGGTCTAGTATGTGCTCCGTCAGTTGTATTAAGGCTGTGGCTGTCGATCTGCCTTTGATAAATCCATGCTGTTGACTATTGAGAAGGTTGTGTTCTTGAAGATGGTGTAGGAGTTGGGCTAGTACTATCTTTTCGATTATTTTTGAAAATGTTGATATTAGGGAGATTGGCCTGTAGCTGTTTCTTTCTATCGTTGGTCCATTTTTGTATTTCGGGTAGACTTTAGCTATTTTTAATTTATCTGGGAATTTTCCTTGTGAGAGTGATTTATTTATGAGGTCTGTCAGGGGTATTACTATTTCATTTTTACAGTTTTTTAGAAGTTTAGCTGATACCTCATCAGTTCCGGATGAATTTTTCATCTTTAGAGATTGAATGGCCTTTTGCACTTCTTCTTGTGTGACCCGTCTGAACTGGAGTGTGTGATGTGTTGCTGGTAAGTGGTCTGTTAAGGCATTGGTTCTAGAGTTATTGTTATTTTGGAGTGTTCGGTCGGCTATTGATGAGAAAAAATCATTAAAACAGTTTGAAACTTCTATTGGGTCGTCTATTGTTTTATTGTTGACTTGAAGATGGATTTGGTTTTCAGTATTTGATCTCGCTTCCCTTTCTCGGTTTATTGTTTGCCACAGTGCTTTGGACTTGTTTTCAGCCTGGTTTATGTGAGCTGTGTTGTTTTCTTTCCGAAGCATTTTCAAATGCTGGTCATACTCCCTTTTTTTAATAGTTGTTCTGGCTTTGTCTTCCATAAGTCCGGTTGTTTGCTCCTTTTCTAAGGCCTTTATATATTCATTTTTAAGTCTAGCCGATTCTTGATTCCAACTCTGTCTCCTTTTATGTTGTTTAACTCTTGACGTTTTAGGAGGGCAGGCGTGGTTTAGTGTTGTCTGGATGATGTTGGTGAAGTTGTTGTAGGCTTCATCTACGTCATGAGTTTGTATTATAGTTTCCCAGTCTTGTTCTTGTAGCTGTGTCTTAAAGTTATCTATTGTTGTTCTGTTGAAGATTCGTTTATTTTCTTTGATGTTGTTGATGATCGGTTTTCTACTGATGATTTTTGCGATTTGTGCGGTATGGTCAGATAGTCCTGATGTTATAACTGAGGTTTCTATTTGTTGATTATCAATGTTTGAGCATATCCAGTCTATTGATGTTTCTGAGTCACTTGTATTTCGAGTGGGAGGTAGCCTCAGTCTTGAGATATTGAAGGAGGTTAGGAGTTCTTCAATTTTTTCGTTTTCATTGTCATCAACTAGGTTGTTTACATTGATGTCTCCCATTATTAATATTTGCTTATCCGTAGTGAGCACTGTTTCCAGTTGTTCAGAGAGTATATCGATGGCTTGGTCTAGGTTTGCACTTGGTGGCCTGTATACTCCGAGGACCAGCAGTGGATTCCTGTTTAGCTTCAGTTCAAAGAGCACAGTTTCGCAAATTAGTTCTGTTTCCTCGCTACTTGTGCATATGAGTGATACATGCTTTTCCCAGCCACTTCTTACATAAGCGACCACTCCTCCTTTGACATGGGATTTCCTTGAGAAGCCTCCAATAAGTGAGTAATTTTCTACCCACGTGTTTTGCAAGTTTTGTTGTGCTACGCCGTGCTCTGTTATTATGATCAGGTCCGGGTCTTCATCTTGGAGGAAGTGTGCTAGTCTATCAGTTTTTTTAGATAACCAATTTATGTTTTGGTGTAGAATTTTAAGTCCTTGTTGGCTATTAGGTGTTTGGAATTTTACTGTACGGAGTGTCGGAGGGGATGTGTTACATCTTTGAGCTGGTTTTTGTGCTTTTCTCTGGGATGAGGGTGTTCTTCTAAAAAATGATGTTGGGAGGTGGGAGTGTTTAGGGGTTCTTGTGTGCAACTTTGGTTTTTGTTAGTTTGTAGTGTGTTTTTATACTTTGGGAGGGGTGGTTCTGCGATTTTCTCAATGTTGATGTGGTATTTGGAAAGTTCCTGGGAGCTAAGCAAGTTTGCTTGTTGTATCCAACGGCCTAGTTTATCATTACTGCTGGGTGTTATGTAAAGGAATGAGTGTGTGTGCCTTGAGATAGCAACGATGCAGTGGTGCTGCGATTCATAAATTTCTTCTCTTTTAGCAGATGTTCGTATGACAGCTATGTTTTCTGCTTGCCGTCCTTGAAATTCATGTATCGTAGATGCGTTGAAACCTAGCTTGTTTAGTTCTCTTTTCTCAGCTTGTTTGAAGACCAAGCATTTGTATTTATTTTTGTTGAGAGTGAGGTTCAGGCTTTCTAGTCCCTGATACTGCTGTGTCGCCAGTTCTTTCTCCGTCTGGTTGGTGGTTTGCATTCCTTGGCTGTAGAATTTTGAGAGGATGGCTGTGGTGCTCTTTGTGCATCTGTATGTGGTGTTTAGTATTTTTGTTGTTGTGGCTATTTCTGTAATGTTGTGGTATTTAACTTCTAGGTTCTCTGCTCTGTTTATATATGGTATTTGGTTAATGTCGCCAATAAGCAATACTTCTTTAGCAGTTGATAAAATGGCTGCAAAGAGTATTTCTACGGCATGCATCATTAGGGCTTCGTCGATGAAGAGCCTGTTATAGGTGTTTCCTTTTTCCTTCTTTTTTCCTTTTTCATGCTTTCCTACCTAGAACCCTTTACTTAGGTAAGTTAGCTGTGTATTAATTCCTTCTTCCTTAATTTATTCAGCCAGGGAGATACTATTCAATGATAGCTTTCTTGCTGCCAGGTTTAAGATCAAATGGTTGATATAAAAAGAAACAAAGAATCAGACTTGCATAAACAAATGCAGTTGTTATCATACACAAGGCCACACTAAAAAAAACAGGCCGTAATGCTCGTCTAGCATGACGTCACGATAGAAGACGGCACTGACGTATTTTTGCCGTTTGTGATCAGCTGCTTGTTTTAATTTTTAATTGAAAACAAAAATATAACCTTAATTACATCATTGCCGTCTTCTATCGTGACGTCATGATTGACGAGCATTACGGCCTGTTTTTTTAGTGTGGCCTTGTCATACAGTAGTTTGTGCTTGGTGTATAAGCAAGGTAGGGGGCTAGACTATTAATAAGGAGCGATGATTTTCTTCAAACGCATAGTTTAGTTCACTCTACGGTCAGCCGGATAGGCCCTACCTGATATGAATCTATGACATTGATTCCCTCATATTTTTAAATTTTCATGAAATGTTATACACTTAAACTTAAATTGGCAACTGCTATATTGAGCAATATTATATTCTCCTGTAGATTAGACATTGAAATTGTGGCAGTATGTAGTATATTCAACAAAATGTATTTGTCAGACTTTCCAATCTATATGACTTTCGACAGTACAGTATTTGAGAAACGATAACTTGACAATTGACATAACACTACATTAGCCGAGACATTGACATTGGCCTGCTCTTGCAGTCCTTTACGTTATTTGAAACTTGAACTGTTGTAATTATGTTAATTTGTATCAGATCTGCCTGTATAAAGTGTCTACAAGCAATGGCAATGATCCATGCGGATGAAGTTGAGGAACATGTTTTAAAGAAAATCTCCTTTGATGGTGAGTTTTCTTTTACCTAGATGTTGCAAAAGAAACTATAATATACCCCCGATGCAGCAAACCTGCAGACTAAGTGAATTTCCATTTGACGGAATTGATTTTAAATTAAATCTATTTAAATATCATTAGGTTTAACAAGTACCTAGGTTTGCTGCCACAGTGATGCTAATAAAGTGTAATTTTTATTAAAATATTTGTAGTTTAGTATAAAATAAATAGATTTGCCAAGTTTAATCAAAATATTTTCTCAAACAAGCAAACTACATTTTACAATATTCTCCATAAAAATAACATGGGAATTTTAAATTTGCAATTTTTGGAATTTTTTCCGTAACCAATAACTAAACAAAAAAAACTTTTTTTTAAAGAGGTTGGTGGCCTCTTTTAACCTTGCATTTGCCCGTCCACATAGACTAACCGCCCTTGCGTGGAACGTTTACAGCAAAGCAAGGAGTGAGCCGGTACAGTACAAAGGTGAACTGTACTGATAAATTTTAGTGGCAGTGACCAGGATCCGAACTCACGAAATCGCTGCCTTGAGCCCGAAGTCCGTGACGCTACTGACTGAGCCACCGAATCACTTAATAACTAAGAGGTTTCTCTTTTCGCTTTAGTATACTAAATTATTTGTTTTTTAAGCTCTTTAAAATGGTCTAGAGAGTAATTGGGAAATTTTGTGTTTTGAGGGTCATAAATGAGAAAACCCTATTTTTACCCCATAACACCCCCCGTAAAACGCTGTTTCCATGGTCCAATCATGCTAGTTCGCGAACTCATTCAAGTTTATCCCGCCTTTAAACCAAATTTCATCACAATCGGACAAAAATTACTCAAGTTATCGCATTCACAGACGTATATATATATATATATTATTTTCTTGCATGTTTAGATACTAATATAATAAATATTAAAAACATAGTTAACAAAGTACCCTTTTTAAATAATTATTTTATTTTGGCTGACGACATGTTTCGGAAACAAAAGTCCATTATCAAGTCATATTTACCATAACCATATAATGAACTCAGACCACAGTTATAAAAACACGAAAGAAAATCTAACAATTTTAGGAGTAGTGTTTCGTAGAAATCCCCTTTACGTATTATATATAAAGATGAAAAAGAATTTGAGAAACTGAATGTAAAAGATGAGCTAAATATTTATCTACACAATAAAAATGACCCCACAAACATACAAAATACGACAAAATAGAAAAACTCAGGAAAGAAGGAAAATATTAAATCTATTCTATAAAAGAGGAACTATGTTGGACTCCAAAACCGCTCGACAGATTGTAATGAAACTTTCAGGCATTATTAAGCATCTTTCAAGGATGGTTTTTGTGAAGTTTGGTCCAGATACGTCGAAAGGGCTCCGCCCCAGAGGGTTTTAAATGGGCCGATGTAAGACTTTTTGAACTACAATAACATAGTCTTAACTGTACCTGAATATACTTAAAAAATAAAAATACTATTTGCACCCTATTCAATCCAAAATAAAAATTAATTCAGTAGCCTTCTCTAATTTGTAAAATGAAAATAGTCTATATCCATATAGTTTGCCCCAAGAATTAGTGTTATTAAAATCATAGTTAATAAATATAAAATCTTAATTTTTTTGTGTGTTTTTCTTTTGTTGCAGATAAAGGAAAAAACGTAAATCAAGCTAAGAAGGAGTTTGAAATAGTTTGCTCTCTGGCAGTGGTAAACACATTTCATTCAACACTTGATCAATTGTTCAATAACTTTGTTACTCATGGAGAACCGTATCTTTCTCTAGCTATATCATGCCTTAGGTAAGCTCAAATTTTGGAGGTCACGAATTGTGGATATTTATAGGCATGCACTGTGGATGCGATACTCCCTGGTGTGGATTAACGTCCGCACGGGTCAGTACTACGACTATCCGCAGTACTATCCTGATAATTAGAACCAATTCGTATATACCAAGGCAAAAATGTGGTTCGGATTACACAATAAACTGTAGGTCCCTTAGTTGCCATTAGCTGTATGAGCTATAATTAACAGCTGTATGGCTAAGGAATGTCGGCCTTAGTCAATAACAAGACTACAAGATCGCGCCACTCATCCCACACTCATCTCCATTCATACTTGGCTTAAAATACCTACTTTGTATGGTCGCCATTTCATTGAAAAAGTATTTAAAAACTGTTTAGAAACCCTCAATCGCTCAGTGAACTGTTAGGAAAATTGTCTTATCAAATGAAGGATAATTAGGCTCAACATGTGAGCAGTATGTGTGCAACTAGACCTTAAGTGATTTTTTGGATTGGTTATAGAGGCAATAGTCTATTATTTTCATCCAAGCAAGGACGTCCCAACTAGAAAGAAAAATAACTCCAAACCTAAGTTGACCAACTCTTCAAAAGCAGTAGTTCCCGCAGTTGGCCCACTTACCTGCGTGTACTGTGGTGATAAGCACGATAATGTCAAATGTTCTATACTTCGGAAAGCTGATATTTCCAAAAGGTGGAAAATGGTAGGTGATAAAAAGCTATGCTTTTCTTGTTTCAAACAACATCAACTTAAATTTTGTAAATCTAAAAGACCTTGTAGTATAAACGGTTGTAAGCTGTACCATCACCGTCTCTTACATAACCCCAATCTCAAACGACCTCCAATGAATACAAGTGAGGGAGAGTTAAAATCTAGAGATAAAAATGAAATAATCTGTAATCATTTTGAAGATAACACATCAAACCGTATTTTGCTGGTAAAGAAATCTTCTGAATTAGAGAAATATGGAGAAACTAGATCAAATAACCCAAAATTGTCAAAAGAAGAAGAACGTGGAATATCAATCCTTGAAGATACCACAAAGGAAATAGGAGATAATTATGAAGTTGGTCTTTTATAGAAAATACAGGGTGTCTACCAGTCGGGAATTCCGGAAAATTCGGGAAAAAGCCAAAAATTCTGAAAAGTTGGGATAAATCGTGAAAAATTAATGAATTTTGACCGAAACTCAGGAATAATCTAACCCCTCAAAATTACGGATGATTATGTCCCAAAACTTCGGGAAATTTTCCGGATCGTGTATTCTTGATCATAGGGACGGGGTTTTCTTGGGACGTGATTCGCTCTGATCGTCGGGGATTTTGCCACGTCGTGAGTGACAATAATGACGTTTCCGCAATCACAAAACATATCGTTGGTATTGTGGCTAACGATGATGATGTGTCCACGATTGTGAGAGATGTTCACGATGATGATTCCGCGAATCCAGGAGACGATGATGTTATCTCCGTGATCGCGTAGATCTTCACGCTTGTACCATAACTGCGAGACAAGTTTGAATAAGTGCGAGATGGCGCCTCGAATGCGGAATATATTAACAATTGCGTCACAGGTGTGGGACATGTTGACAGCAGTACCCTGACCGCTTTACAAATTAACTTTTAGAAAAGTCCCAGTTCTTTTCTGAACTTTTTAAACTTGGCAATTGATAGCCCTTAGTAAAAAAATTACCAACTTGATTTTCACTTGCAATATATTAACTTCAATAATCTTCTTTGCTATGAGTTCCTTAGTGAAATCGTACATCAATGTGTTTTGACCTCTTTGTTTCCAGAGTTGTGGCCATTTTGATGCATGATTGGTTAATATTAAATACAATTATTAACAAGAACTGTATACAACTCAATTTAATCATTTCATAATGTTAGCATAGAACTAAACAAAAACATTGAATTAAACAAACATAATATTACTTAATTCTGAACATCTGTGTATCTTAATAACATATGTAACAGTGGTCCCCCCCTTAAAGTTTTGTGCGTAGCATCTGGTCCACGTGTCGTCTCCAAGTTTGACCATCATCCATTTTAACGTAATAATGAAGATTACTATCTTTAATTTCAACTGTCCCAAGGCCCACTTGTCTCTTCCTGAATAATTTCTTATTTGTACGCGGTCCCCAGGATTGAATCTTCGCATTATACCTTTTGGACTGGTAGGTTCGTGTTTTCCCCGAGGCTTTAGTAGACTTAGATAAGTGCGAATCTTTCTATTAAACATGAGGAAATATGAAGAGGTTCCCGTTGAATTAGGAGCTTGGCGGATCTGCATTAGAAATCTATGTATTTTTTCATCGATGGTCCCAGGTTCCTTTTCCATACATTTAAGTGATTTCTTTACAGTTTGAACAAAACGTTCAGCCTGCCCATTAGATGAAGGGTGATATGGTGCAGTTGTTTAATGTGTAATGCCACACTGTTCAAGGAAGCTAGTAAACTCTAAGGAAGTAAACTGTTGTCCATTGTCTGACACAATAAGATCTGGTAATCCAAAAGTAGAAAACATTTTTCGCAACTCCTTTACTGTCCAAGTAGCTGTAGTTCAGGGTGTATACCAACCGGGAAAACCGGGAGAACCGGGAAATAACCTTGAATTTGAAGGGACCTGGAAAAAACCGGGAAAAAGCCGGGATTTTTGGACCGAATCCGGGATTTTTATTTTAGCCCCGGTAGAAGATTGTAGTCGTAAAATGCGTCTTGCCGCGATTGCGGGCGACGACGATGACGTTTTCGTGACCGCGGGAGACGACGATGACGTTTCCGTGACCGCGGGAGACGACGATGACGTTTCCGTGACCGCGGGAGACGACGATGACGTTTCCGTGACCGCGGGAGACGACGATGACGTTTCCGTGACCGCGGGATCAACGATGATTTTAACACGGCCACGTGAAATACTCATGATTTTGCCACGATTGCGACCTACGACGATGACGTTTCCGTGACCGCGGGAGACTACGATGACGTTTCCGTGACCGCGGGAGACGACGATGACGTTTCCGTGACCGCGGGGGACGACGATGATTATGTCTACGCGGCCGCAGATGTTTATGATTTTGCCGAGATCGCGGACGACGGCGATGACGTTTTCATATCTGCGAGAGGCAATGATGATGTCTACACGGCCGCGGGAAATATTCATGATTTTGCCGAGATCGCGGACGACGACGATGACGTTTCCGTGACCGCGGACGACGACGATGACGTTTCCGTGACCGCGGGAGACGACGATGATTATAACTACGCGGCCGCAGATGTTTATGATTTTGCCGAGATCGTGGACGACGGCGATGACGTTTTCATATCTGCGAGAGGCAATGATGATGTCTACACGGCCGCGGGAAATATTCATGATTTTGCCGAGATCGCGGACGACGACGATGACGTTTCCGTGACCGCGGACAACGACGATGACGTTTCCGTGACCGCGGGAGACGACGATGATTATAACTACGCGGCCGCAGATGTTAATGATTTTGCCGAGATCGTGGACGACGGCGATGACGTTTTCATATCTGCGAGAGGCAATAATGATGTCTACACGGCCGCGGAAGATTTTCGTGATTTGCAGTGTCCGCGAAAGACGACGATGATGATTTCTACACGGCCGCGTGATATGCTCATGATTTTGCCGTGATTGCGGCCGACGACGATGATGTTTCCGTGACCGTGGGAAACGACGATGACGTTTCCGTGACCGCGAGAGATGACGATGATGTAGACACGGCCGCGGGAAATATTCATGATTTTACCGAGATCGCGGACGATGACGTTTCCGTGACTGCGGGAGGCTATGATGATGTCCACACGGCCGCGGAAGATATTCGTGATTTGCCGTGACCGCGAAAGACGACGATGATTTTGTCTACACGGCTGCAGATGTTCATGATTTAGCCACGATCGCGGACAACGACGATGACGTTTACGTGACCGCAGGATCAACGATGATGTTTACACTGCCGCGGGAAACATTCATGATTTTGCCGAGATCGCGCACGACAACGATGACGTTCCCGTGACCGCGGGAGTCAATGATTTTTTCGTTATTTTGCCGTGATCGCGGTCGATGACGATGACGTTTACATGACCGTGGGAGTCAATGATGATGTCCACACGGCCGCTGAAGATTTTCGTGATTTTGCCGCGATCGTGGATGACGATGATTACGTTTCCGTGATCGCGAGAGACGGCGATCATGTATACATACCGCGGAAGATGTCCAGGATTTTTCTATGGTAACGTAAGACTGTGATGATGTTTACGTCACCGTGGGAAGCGACCACACGACCGAAGGAAATATTCAGGATTTAGCCGCCGTTGATAATGTGTTCATAAAAAGTGAAGATAATATTCATGATTTTGCTGCTATCGAGAGAGACGATGTTTCCGTGGACTTAAGTAATGATGATAATGAAAATTATTATTATAATAAGGATTATTACTTTTTCAACACTAGCTCACTGGACTTTGAAACAAATTTAATGCAAGTTTATATTGTATACTTAGGCTGCAAGTCTTAAATTGATTATAGTTTAAGTGGAACCAAAAAAATACGTGGGAACCTGGAAAAACTTCAAAAAAACCAGAAAAAAACCTGGAAAAAACCTGGAATTTCACTCTAATAAAATAGTATACACCCTGTACATTTTGTAGGCAATACTTCTACCCATTTGGTAAATGCGTCAATGACTAACAGGAAGTAAAGTCCATTTGTAGGGCCAACAAAATCAATGTGAATCCTTTCCCAAGGTCTAGTAGCTGGTATCCAAGGATGGTTCACTTCTTTTTGTGGTGCATTTTGTTTTTCTCGACACGCTCAACATGATGCAATCATCTCCTCGATATCTTTGTCTTGTCCTTTCCAATAACAAAAACTTCTGGCTAATGCTTTCGTTTTCAATACACCCATGTGTCCAAAGTGTAATTCATTCAAAACGATTTTAGTAAGAGACTTCGGAATCATAACCCTCCATCCCTTG